CGGCGCTCGCTCGGCTGGCTGAGACCCGCCCTGGGTTCAAAAGTGGCCTCGAAGGCGCTGGGGCTGCCGCCGCTGGGCGCGTTCTCCAGGGAGGAATAGCCCGGGGTGGCGCGGTAGTAGCTGGGCAGGGGGACCTCCTGGTCAGCGAGGCAAGCTTCAGGCATCTGCCCGGGGTAGAGGGTGGCCTCGGGGGCGCTTTTCGCCCTCTTCTCGGCATTGTACATGCAACAAGCATTTTCTTCCTTGACAGTGGTCGGGAAGGAGCAGGAGGGCAGCTGCCTGGCAACAGGTTGCTCGACTCGGTAAGTACTTTTGGGGTCACACCAGGCGTCGAGCTGAGACAGGTAGGGAGGGTAGGTGCTGAGGGACAGCCCGCCGGCGTGGTTCACCTCGTCTCTTTTGGAAAGAGCCGGGATGATCCCACAGTTCCTCATCACTCCACAGCTGAAGTCGTTCGCGGGCTGCATGTACATTCCTTGGCTAGAGGAATAATTCTCTCCCCGGCAGGTACTGGGCAACGAGTCCATCAAAAACGAGTTGGGAGTCACATTGTTGGGACATGACATTTTCAGAGAGGGATTTTAAAGAGGAATACTACAGCCAGGGGCTGACATCTTTTTTTTAGGGAAAAAAATATCAGCACCATAATTATCCACGCATTGGTCCCAACCACGTGACGGCTAGGCCAATGAGGATTGAAAATGGCCTTGATGATTCAGACGCCGGTGACGTCACCGGGGTCAAGTTGTTGCGAGAGGAGAAAACCTGCGTGGAGCAACAGCGACATCTATCCGCTTCTGGAAGGTAGGGAACCCGGGACCTTCACGTTGAACAAAGGAGAGCGACACGCTTTTCCTCGAGTTTGTTTACCAATGAACGAACGCGTGTCTACCTCGGAGTGGGGGGAAATAAAGGAAGCGGAGGCGTAAATCGAAGCAAAGTCAAATTCAAATTAAGTGGTCAGCAGATGGTCCTAACTTTCTGTCTTTCCGTCATCTTTCTATCTTCCCACCTTTATCTTAAATAAATAAATTTTACAAACACACACATTGGAAGGAAAAAAAAAAAAACACTAAATGAACTTTTGGAACCTTCGAATTCTTCCCGAACTCCTACCTCTTCCCAACTAAACTTGAAATGCACGGAAAGTGTTTCTTCAGCAACCTTGTGATTTCTTCAGTGCCTTGTGGATTCATCGTTAATCGTGGGACACTGAGTCTACTTCCCCAAAGTCTTTAGAATATCCTCGTCCTCGTCCTGTGCCTGGAGTCAAACAAATATGAAGCATTCATGTTAAGTCACACGGGGATTTCCATTTGAGAATCAACATAGTCATTGACTTTTGAGTTGTTTCAGAGTTCATTCAAAAGGCATTTTCTTGCCTTTTATTTTAAGAGTTCCATCCTCATGGGTCCTTCTTTCTAGCACTAAGAAAGAAAGAAAGAAAGAAAGAAAGAAAGAAAGAAAGAAAGAAAGAAAGAAAGAAACCCTCCTCAATTTCTGAATAAAAAAAACTGTCATTATTTTAAATTA